TCGCTGCTGTGCCCGAAACGAACTGGAACATTCACGTCGGAAAGCAAGGTTATGTGTTTATGTGTTTAAGAGGTGATGTTGTTATGTTTCGGCGTTCCTGACATGAATCAAGTAGGTAGAAACTCAAGTGATCCACAGAACTTCGGCTCTCTTGATATAGTTCAGGCTAAACCCGTTTATATTAACGTTTGGCTGAAACTCTTTCTTCCGCATGCTAAGGGCTTAAACAGTGTCTAAGGCCCGTTCCAAACGCCACTTCATTCATACACCGAACCTAACTGACGAGTTAAGTACGGCAAAAGAGTGGCGTTTGAAACAGTTTGGTTCGGCAGGTTAGGTTTAATGCAGCAACCAACATTAAATTCGGCAGGGTCTAATTCATACGGCGTTCCCCTCATTTGTCGAACCCAATGCATAAATTACTGTAATGTATTTTTTATATAACGGGATTCGTGATTGGCTGAAAATTGAGTGGCGTGACCAGTCCTTCATGAAGCTCGAAGTCATCGCTAAAACTAAAGGCAAAATATGCCTTCGATTTATGAGAAACGGGACTGTATAAGCGAGTTTCTTTCGCGCAAATTCATTTTTTGCTTTTTCTTCGTGATAATAACCCAGCTTACGAGATTTCCATTTAAAAGGTCGAATTAACCGGGAGAAAACCTGTCTGAATACAAACACTGAACCTTTTGTGTCTGAGTTTGCTTCCCTAAATATTGCTATAACAGCGAAATGTTAGTCACAGCTTTCCTATTTGGACAGAGTTCTTGAATTCAGAACGCATATATTCTCGTCGAAAATTGTTACCACCGGCTTCCCTATTTAAGTTCGACGCAAGTACGCCGTCTGAACCAGCCGTCGCTCCAAAGTCGGTCTAAAGTCGAACTTAATCAAGTTTGGCACATGACTGGAGCGGCGTTTGGACCGGGCCTAAGTTCACTTGCTAAGAGTTTGCTATGAAAAATCAGTGCCAAATGGAGCATATCCGAGTTGCCTATCGCTCGTACAGTCCAACAAGAGTACCAGCAAAAGAAGTATGCACGCATTGCGAGCCTATTGTGTTTTACTTGCGAGGGTCCCGTACCGTCTCTCCTTCGCAGCCATTATTAGAGTGACGGCTGCGAAGGAGACTACCCGTACCGTAAAATGACTGCTGAATTGGGTTTACTATCACAGATGCAGCTTCATCGTTGTTGATATAAACATTGCAATCACTGAGTATAACTAAAACAACAATATAACGACCATTGCTCTTACATAAAGGCTTTGTCTCTTTATGTGCTCGAATTGATTTTTTTTTAAAAATTAAAATTTTTTTGGTGGAGAAAACTCTTATTTCAAAGAATTGCCGTGACTTTATCGGGTAAGGGAACATAATTGAGGAAATGTAATTCTGCAGATGAAAAACTGGTTTGACCGGCACCAAAATAGCCTGTTTCCGGCCTCTGGTAAAACACATAACATGGGAATGCAGACACAACATTTCTTTTTTATTTTCTTAAGTGTCATAAACATCAGGCGAGGTTGTAATTGCGTTTTTTATTTACTTTAAGAAAGTCAAGACATCTGTCCAACTAATCTGCGGGTGAATACCACTCATTCGATTAAGAACGTTTGAAAAATCTTCAAAAAGGAAAAAAAAAAAAACGCCCTGCAGCGAGATCACCGAATCACTCAGTATTCATAATGAATGCAATATTTCGGTTTTTGACGAAAATTCCAGAAAGGCCTGAAACTGCCGTTGCCGCAATAGCAAGCTCCCCCGGCTAGCAAGAAAATATTCATATAAATAGAGGGCAAACACTTCTTAGCATTCACGTCATTTTTGCTTTCGGCGAGGGATTAATAAACTAAACAAAGATTCCTAGGATCTACTGAGACAAGTTTTAATCAACGAATACTCAACGTACAAACGAAAGCGAATGAGAACTGGGTTATTAATGTACGGTATCAACGTAGAAGTAAATCTCTTAAGAAGAAAGTTGAACACAAAGTTGAATATTTTCAAAATCATCGTAAGGAGAGGGCTGTTACAGACGACAGCGTCGCATCAGAGACGGTCGACTAGAACATGGCCGGAACGGACATCTATGTGGTTGTTTTTCTCAGCACCCTTTCAGTTTTAATCGTTCTATCAAACTTCTGTGTTTGTCTCTTGGTTTACTTAAAGAAAGCCTTACGAACGAGCACGAATTGGTTGATGGTATCTCTTGCTGTGTCGGACATATTAACAGGAGGAATTTTATTGCCTGTGTTCCTCATCAAGCCCACTTCGGTTGTCACAAGCTATATAATATGCATAATATTACTCTCTGGTGTTGCTAACCTATGTGCGGTGACTTACGAACGATATGTTGCTGTTATCAAACCTCTGGAATACCCGTTTAGGGCACCGAAGATTCTCAAAAGAGCACTGATACTTTCGTGGCTGCTTCCAACCATTTACTCTTTGCTTCCCTTGTTCTGGGACACGAATCCAGCCCTCAAAATTCATAAAGCTTACATGGTGTGCTTGGAATTTTTTGGCGTCGTTGTACCTTACATCTTCATTACTTTTGCCTACATGCGAATATTCAAGCAAGTTCGACGAAGTTTGACAATGAAGAAAGATCTAAAACCTTTCAGGGTGCACAGGAATGAACGGAAACGAATATCATCGGACGCCAAAGTGGCCAAAGTTTTCTCCATAGTTGCTTCAACTTTCCTACTCTGCTGGCTGCCAATCATGTACATAACAACCGCAAAAATAATAAACAGGATTGACGTCATTCCTGGTGCTCTGCCAGTTGTTTCTTTGTTCACCGTGGCGACAGGCTCATTAGTGAATCCACTCATGTACGCCTTCCTGAAACCGGATTTCAAGATGGCCATTCGGAATTGCTTTACGAAGGGCGCTCTCACAGACACAGCGTTGACCATGGGCAATACGGAAGGACAGGAACGATCAAGACGAAGGACCGGATTGGGCAATTCACCAAAGGAAAGATGGAGAAAATAGTCTGCGATCGGAAAACCCATAATACGAACAATGAAATGCACAAAATAGAGGTCAGTCTGCCAAGACAAGACAAAACTGAAGCTAGCCAATAAGTATAATAAGATTAAAAAAGGTCAAAAAAGAACAGGTCCGCGTTTAGCTCTATCGAGATGGTTTCTTTCCTTTATTTGTATAAATCTACTAGCGTTCTATCACGAATGCCTTTCTCTGATTGGCTACGCTGTCAACTATCTATTCTGTGATAAATAGTAGTAGTAGCAGTGTGACCTTGCTAACAAAATAACGGTCGCTTCTTGGCGTTTTCGAAGTGTCTGTGAAGAGGATTTCCGTAAAGGTCTGAACGACTAGTAGATTTATACGAAAACGATTGGATTATTCGCTCTCGATTTCTCTGCGTGATAGTTGACTCGGGCTGCGCCCTCGTCAACTATCACGCGATAGAAATCGAGAGCGAATAATCTATTTGTTTATTAGAAGCTGCCTGCGGGACAACAAAATTGCTTAATTCTGGTTGGCAAAGCAGTAAGTAAAGTAAATAGAATGTTAATCATGAGCTTTGGACTAGAAAGCTTTTTTAAGTTAATTTAAAGGAAACCTCTACTGACAGAGGAAAATAGAAAAAAAGCAAATAAATGTTAGAAAAGCATGGATACAAATACCGCTTGCTCTGATTTGGGTTTTATTATATCTTGGATTTTATGAATCTTTTTGGATCTTGTTTCGTCACAGAATTGCCCTAAAAAATAATTAGTAAACAAAACTACAGGCAGGAAGTTCGAACGGCAAATACTCTGAACGCTTTCTTTAATTCTGCGCCACAAAGCTACGTGCTCCTAAGTGTGGACATTTGTCATGGAATATTATTGTTCGCATGCATTGGGATGCTGGAATGCTTCTGAATGATCAGCAATGTAATCCCTGGGGGAAACGCGCGACATTTCGCCTGTCTGGCGGAATTTTGTATGTTAGCTGGTGGCTTATTGTCAAGATTCCTTCTCCTTATTGCCCAATCAAAATTGCGCACTAATCCCAGGAAAAATCGCATACTAATCCCAGTAACCCTAATCTTCATTAAAAACTTCAACTCGATCCAACTTTACTCCAACTTGAAATGTGAAGGTGGATGTAGGCGGGCAATCACACCTTCACTGGAATGCCTTGTTTTGTATTCACTAATGTCCTGCTCCTGAACTAAATTACCTGATTCATTCATACAAAAATCCGCAGAAATACAGTGGCATTCTAGCAGCTTTTCAGCTACATTGCCATAACGAGAGAACGGTGAGTAAAAGCGAAACAGCTAATTGTAAGGTGGTATAATGCACTTTATCTAGCCCTTTTAAGGACGGGGGCGGGTACAGATATTTGTGTAAGGACTCAAACGTGGGTTACGTTTAAGCATGCACTTACCAAGGGGTAGGCTACTGAAATTACTTTCATGATAGATTTGATTTTTTCAGTCCCCCATACCTTACGACCGTCCCTAAAGAACCAGTTGACTAGTGTGAGATCATATCCTAGTAACGGACTCTAAAACAAGTGGCGGGAAAAATGAATTTCTCTAGCTTGACAGTTTTAAAAAGAGTCGAAGGAAATCAGCAGGGTGATCTCAAGTTGACTGATTTTCATGACGTATGACCATGACAGCTGCACATTGTTGTAACTCAACCTTTTTCAATATATTTTTTTCAATATTTTGCAAAGCGGTAAGAATCTTAAATTGTCGCTCACCAAACAGAAAGGACCCTAAAACCGCCGTTCACCGAAAGGAAAAACCTCAAAATCGCTATTTGCTAAACGATAAGAACTTTAAAAACGTCGTTTGCCGACCGGTAAGACCCTGAAAATTACCATTCGCCAAACAGTATAATTCGCCAATCAACTGCTTTAAAAAATTAATCGCTGTTTGCTGGAAGACCCTCACATGTTACCCTCGTAACGACGCTTTTAGTACGAACTTGCAAAAATGTCAGTGTTGTTTAAGACGTTTTAAATTAAATCTCGATTTACATTTTACTCGATTTTTGGTGATTCCATGAAGATATTCACAATGAAATGTTGTCTACCCATTGGTCATGTGTCAAAGATACTGTGGTTATTATGCAGAACGGGATACATCAATTACTTTGGAACAAAAATAAAACAAAAATAAATAAAATAGTTGCTATAATAAACTGCCGACATACAGTCTGATGTATGAGGGCCTCTCCGGAGGAAAAGAGCATGTTCTCTGGATGCCGTGAAAATTTCACTTTTTCTTCCTTTTTCCCTTGAACTAAATTCCATTGTTCCCTAAATGTTTTTGTCAAAGTTTCCTTTAATAGCTATAGTAGATATATCTCTTGTTCCCTGAAATTACTTCCACAAATATCCCTTGTTCCTTTGAAATAAATGATCATGTTCCCTTGTTCCTAAAAACCCCTCGAAGGTCCTCTTGCATAGTGGACAGTGGACGCATGTCTTATATATTGGTTTCACTTTTAGTTCGACAGCATGTTAAAATCTGTTGAAGAATTGCTACGCAAATAACTGAAGTAATCATGAAAAACGTATTATTTCCACTTCACAATTAGTTTCAGCTATATTTCCGCACTATATGTATGACGCATGGTTTTCGGGAAAAAAATCCAAGGTCAACATACGTGTAATGTGAGATGGTAACCATCGACTAAAAGGTGATATTCCACCATGTTTTTATTTCCCTCAAATACAAGTCGCTTTGTATTTTCGATATAGCAAACAATATTAATATTCATTCTTACTAAATATTAAATCCGAAAACCGCAGATGAGGGTAACGTAGTTAAAACGTGTAGACTGTTTGTTAGTTCGAAATTTAATTTAAAAGTTCTTTTTTTAAGAATACTTTTTCGCTAAAAAGGAAGCCGAAATCCAATTTTCAATTTTCCAATTCGTGAATTACAAATAGCAAGAGTTTTTTTTTTGACAAGTGCGAAACGTTAGTGCTATTTGTTTTAGCTGTCCGTGATTTACAACTGCCACGAAAAGTAATAAAAAATTCATGGTATAGGTAAAAGCGTACCAAATAAAGAGCACCTTTCTGTGCATTCTCATTGGCGGAAAAGTGTATTTTAACACCTTGATTCAAATGTAAATTTGAATGACGGATCAGAGAGGACCCACTTTGGGTTATTATTACAATTGTAAGGAACTGCGATATACCAGCAGAAATCAATGTATATAACGTAAATTAATCACACTTTAGACAATCGTACATCGGAGACAGTTCCTCATAATGTTTATAGAGGAGCTTGTGGAGAGAGAGAATAATTGTTCTCGCAATGGCGAATTTTGATATTTTCTTCATGACATTGTGGGAGCCGGATGGTGTTTTGAAGAAAAAAAGCTCAAGTTTACAATAAGAAGAAATCATCAGCAAATCAAGTCGTGCGTCACGGCACAAGTGAGCACAATGGCTGAAAACTCCGTTGTCGATGCTTTGATAACAATTTTATCCGTACTAATCGTGCTTGCCAATGTGACCATATGCCTTCTGGTCGTCACCAACAGATCTCTTCGGACGTACACCAATGGATTTCTTGTGTCGCTGGCAGTGTCCGACATTTTACTGGGAGGTGTGCTGTTCCCGGTAATTCTCACGACCCCGGAGTCGATTGCCAGTGGATATCTGATCTCGGTGGTCTTGTTGTCAGGAGTGGCCAATCATTGCTGCATCACATTTGATCGATTCATCGCTGTCCGCCATCCATTCTTTTATGCATATCTAACAGAAAAATACTTTACGCAAATGCTGCTGACAGCCTGGATCGTGGCAGTTGCGTTCTCTCTGCTTCCACTGTGTTGGAACACCGACCACACGCTTCCCATCCATCAAGGTTACATCTTCGTTGAAATATTGGTGTTTGTCTTCATTCCGTACCTGCTCATTTTTATCGCTTATTGCTTGATTTTCACGAAGTTCCGCGAGCACTTCAAACTGCTAAAAGAGACGAATGTCTCCATACCAAGACGGGAACAAACCAGGAGGCTTGCCACGGAAGCAAAAATTGCTAAAGTGTGTCTTATCCTGATCGCCACGTTTGTACTCTGTTGGTTGCCAATCATCTACATGACTTCTGCAACAGCGGTTGGTAGGTTCGAAATCGTACCTGTTATTCTACAAACTGTTTCTAAATTTACACTAGCTTTGTCGTCTTTGATAAACCCTCTACTTTATTCTTTTAAGAAGGAAGACTTCAGAAATGCGCTGAAGAAGGTTTTAAAGCGAAATGCGAACGGGCAGATTCATCCGGCTGTTACAGGGAACAATATTCAGCCCGTGCAGGAATTGAACATGACTCAGTGTGGTACAGGTTTACAGTAAGGAAAAGTACTCTATTCCAGTAACTAGATGTCACATGTCATTGGTTAACTTGAAGGCGCTTGACTGCCATTTTTTTGTTGTTTCGTATTCGGGAATCTTAATATGATTGCATGCTTAAAAGTGGTAATATGACACCAAGTTTTGGTGGCTGACCGCAAAAACGTCAATCAATCAATCAATCAATCAATCAATCAATCAATCAATCATGGTCACCCATGGTCATCAATCGATCGATCGACCGATCGATCGATCAGTCAGTCAGTCAGTCAGTCGATCAACTAAACTGATTTTCCCCTGGTTTCTGCGATTTGGCTGAAAAGATACGGCGAGTCTCTCTTCCACCGAGAAAAGGCGTTCCCTTAAATCGTCTGCGAACAATTTTTTCTTTAATTTTCTTTTTCTGTACGATTCGTTAATTTTTCTACCACGACTCTTTGAAGCAAGAGTGAGCCGTGGTGGTTAGTTTTAGTTGGACTTGTAATATAGATTACTACAGTTAGTTAACTTTAGATTGCCTTGGAATGTCTGTCTAACTTACAAGATCAGTAAAGGGTCACGTTTCTGTCAACGTTTGGTTATGTACTGTTCATTATTTAACATCCTCCTTACAGAGGTTGGAAACTAAAACGTGCTAGAATGGAGAGAGGAAAAATTGGGGTTTCGCCACATACATCCACTGTATATCGAATTATCAGCAAAGTAATAAACAATATTTATTTTTATTTTTAATTTTCTTAACCGGGCAATTACCCTGTGGGAGGGGGAAGGGGGGTACTTCCAGAAAAATTGAGTGGGGGTGTGCGGCCCTCTTCCCAAAACCCTTACCGTATTTATGACCAAAATCTGCGCTATCCCCTACCCTATTTATGACCTGACCAAAAATCCGAAACCCTATTTATGACGTGACCCTTAAATCAAAACCCTGTTTCAGACCTGCGTTATGATTGGTTCCCTAGTTCAGACCAATGTTAAGTTACCATAAACATAATTTGTGAAGGGCTTTTGTTGTTTCTCTTTTCGATAATGATGAAAAAGTGGCTTCTTCTTAAAAAGTACCGATATGAAGGTTAGAGTGCAAAAACCATACCCTATTTATGACCAAGACGGCTGAAGAACCATACCCTTTGGGGCCGCACATACCTATATAGCCCATATAAGGGAGTACTCCCCCTCCCGGGGGCAATTGCCTTTTTATGTCTTTGACATATCTGTTATAAACTACGAATCAAAGCCTTTCGGGAATTTAAACTCCCTTGTTCTTTTGTCAAAGTTTCATTTTCTCACCTATTTTATTTTTATATTGCAAAACATTCTCAATTAAGGGACCTATGTAAATATTTGCATTCAAGATACAATAAACCTTAAATAAAATTATCAGATATTTAGCTCTAAAAATAATGACTAAAAACTCTAATTATAACTCCAGGCTCGAATAACCTGCAAAAGTCAAATAAAAGCCGGATTCATGAAGCTAAGTTTGAAATAAGCGCCGAGGGCGTTTAATCGAGAAAATACGGTTTAATACTGACCTTCCGTTTGGAAAGTTTTCACTCGTACCGTTATTAATGTTCCCAACCTCTTAAGCAATGGCTAAAAAACCAGGACAAGACACTTTTTAACATTTTTGACTTATTCCCGTAGTCAAATAAGAAATCAGCCTGTGAGATGTTAGGTCAAAAAGCTGATGTTCCATAATGATTATTGTGGACAATTATGGACAAATAACAACAACTATACAATATTCTTCTGCTTTTCTCCAAAATACGGAAACTGACGCCACAAAATCTCTTACAGTGGCACCAAAGAGTACCATTAGCCATTATCTACAATACTATGCCTTGAAGCTACTAGATTTTATAATTTAAGAAGATGATAAACTAATTTTAAAACAACATTGTCGCTAATTTGATTCGCAGGTTTTGGTTGACATAATGCACTTGGCAGTCGAATAATCTTTGTGAAATGAACGTTGTCACGCCCTTCGGTCCGTCACTATTACTGCTGATAATAATAGCCTTTTATTAGTACAAACAAATAGAACTTAAGTATTACAAACGCGTAGGTATAGGTGAGGCTATAATTCTTATTCAGTCTCGATGCCAGATGGAACCGTAGGATTCTTGCTATGTCTCGTTGCAATTGGAGTAGATTATAAAGAAAGGACAATTTAGACGTTTTGATTAAAAAAATTATGAAGTTTGGTCGAATACAAAAGACAGCTATTCCTAGTTTTGGTCTGGAAGTAAATAATATTTTATCTTTCTACTCATTGTCTCTTAGCTGTTAGAATAATCTGTACTTGGAACGTTATTGTCTTTGATTTTGCTTTAAAGATATCAGGCTTGAATAATTATATTACAACAATTGTTATTCTGACAAAAATTTCAATATAACGAAAGTTGCGCTTTTTTGTATAGTTTCTATGTGAATATCTTTATACTGAATCTTGCATGTTGAATTAAATAAGGAATAGTGGAACCCTTCATTACTTTGTGAATTTTCTTTGTCAACCTTTTTCACAACCGGAATGTCACATCAAATGTACACAGCCTGTGTTACTGATGTTTATTTGGCTTAACTTTAAGCAAACTTGCATCTGACCATTATCCTAAAATATAAAATATTACATTTGAGGTCTGAATACGATATCAACATGAAATGTAAAGTAGACGAAATTTATAAAAAAGTACTTTCATTTCCTGAAGTTCTGTGGCATTATAGGTTAATCGCGCACCGTTTGACGACAATTCACTAAATTACCTTACCTAGGAGATATAAGGATTAATTCTTGGTTAGCAAAGTAATTCCAGTTTAGCTAAAAATTATTATATTGAGGTATATTAAAAAAAATTGACCCACACCTTATCATAAAATGCCATGTACCAAAAAGCTGGTAAATTAATGGAAACCTTACGAGAATTTATCCCCAGTTGAAAGATAATTGAATCCCCAACCACTATTTCTCCTTATACTTATATATCCTTGCCAAAGAAACTCTGTAAATTCGTGTCAAGTGCTGGACGATGAGCTTATAATGCGGCATAACTTCAGGAAATGAAGATTTTGCCTTTTTGTAAGTCTCTTCTTATGACCCACTCCTTGTAATAAATAGTGCTGATATAAATAAGACCTCCTAAATTAATGGAAACTTCTCAACAATTTATCCCCAATAGAAACATGACTTAATTCCCAACTATCACTTCGCTTCATTCAATTATCGAACTCAAAAAGCCTATTGTAAAAAGGACCTTATGTAATAATCAAGTCAGAAAAACACTTAAAAACATATTCAAATTTGTCGACAAAGTTGTTATCAAATCTTTCATCTCGTTCTTGTGCATTATTCAATTTCTTTAATTTCTGCATCTCTCTGCATGTCGGGATTATGACTGAATTCGGTCACACAAACAAAAAAAGGCAAGGACAAGGTTGTCGCTCCCAAATAAAAAAAGCTCCGCGATTTCAGTCGCTACATCCATTATCCCTAACAAGGCAACCTAAAAACGTAACACCGATTTACGAAATTGAATCGTCCATTATTTATGAGTACATTTTTCTGAATTTTTCATAACAATTGAAATAGAGTTGATTTACATCACAAGGAGACTGAAGCTTAACAAAAAAAAAGAAAACCACTCGCGCAGAACTCGAAGTTTATTCTTCTCGAGAAAAGAAATGTCGTTTCTTTCTTTTCCGCTTACAAATGTGGACAAAAATGTCAAATAACATTTGAATGCAGGATTGACGTTGAAGGTGTGTCATTTGCCCGGAGGCAGGAAATGAAAATAGAGTGTACCGGAAAATCAAACATGAAGCAAAAACCTATCGGCTCGAAGCTCGACATTTAACTTGTAAATGTGTTGAGATTTCTATCACTTATTTCCTCACCCACGTCAACAAAAAGATTAACATTTGTTTAGCATTTCTATAGATCTTATTAGATTTCAGTCAAGATCGGACATCCAGTGTTCAATATCACTGACACTGAAGACGGGAATAAACAACACGAGCAAGTTAAACAGCTTCATCAAGACGACCATTTCTTGAGAATTTCTGAAGGCTCGAAATGCGTGATGTCTCCTGGAGTTTGGTCATTTTAAGCTGTACATCGGTGTTCATAGTAGCTGCCAACGCTATTGTCTGTGTGTTTGTTTTGACGAACGTTCGTCTTCGCACTTACACCAATGGATTCCTTGTGTCGTTGGCCGTGTCTGACATTCTCACCGGTGGCCTCTTTTTTCCTGTTCACCTCAGTGGACCAGATTCTGTCGTGGCCTCCTCAGAGGGCTACTTGGTTGCATTCGTACTGCTGTCTGGAGTTGGCAACATATGTTTGGTCTCATGGGATCGCTACATCGCTGTCGCCAAACCGTTTGACTACAAGAAAGTAGTGAAGTGCCATTTCACAAAGCTGATAATAATAACTTGGGTAACTGCCTTAGTGATTTCTCTGTTACCCTTAACATGGCGAACAGACTCGAATGTAGTAATTCATAAGGTGTATTTATTTTGCCTAATGGGGTTCTTCGTTGTTTTCCCTTATGTTGGCGTATTTTGCGCCTACTATCAGATCGGTCAGCACCTCAAAGAACATCGCCGCAAATTTCGGAATCACTCCACCGCGTCTCTGTCGTCAAGAAAGATGAAATCAGAGGCTAAAGTCGCCAAGGTGTTCCTCGCTATAGTAATAATATTTGTGCTATCATGGTTGCCAATTATTTATATGACAACAGTTGCAAGCGTAAACAGGCCAGACCTAGTTCCGGTCGCTCTTCAGGAAGTGTCCCTTTTGACGGTGGCTCTATCCTCCTTGGCAAATCCCTTGCTGTATGCATTTATGAAGGAGGACTTTCGGCGAGAATTCAAGAAGGTGTCATCGCGACATAGGCGATCTCCTCTCTCAGCAAACGCCATCGAAATGAAAACCTCAACGGTAGCATGCACCGCTGAAACGTCACGTCAATATCTACAATTTACCTAAAATATTGGTTCTCGTAGACCTGTATCCTCAATAACGGACAATGTAAAATGTAAAAGATTTGTCTAACACTGGTGCATGACAGTGCCAAGGGACAGAATGTGTTCGAGCGGGAAGTAATTTGGTAGAGCAGAGGTCGTTCATTAACCTTAACTTTTTTTGTCTGATCTGCTCTTGACAGAAATGCTGTGTGAAGAGACGAAGTTCTTCGATGTAAGTTCTAGCAAGGGAAGATTGGTGTACACCCCCCTACTCAATTGGAGGGCCTGTCTTCTGGTTAGCATCTCGAACTGAAATTTAATGGAACCTGAACGCTATTCGAACGCTTTCTATAACCACTAACCTACTTGAAAAAAAGTAGCTACTGCCCTTTCAAGCCAAGCCCAACAATGTTCTAAAGCTAGACAACAAGCTGGAAGATTTGGCCAAATGGAAAACGATTTCAGCTTTCGCAACGCTAACTTGCGATATTACCTTTATTTCTGAGCTGGCAGAAATGCTGTGTGGAGAAAATGAAGTCATTCACCTGCTTAGTGCTTCACGAAGGATGTAACTGAAGTCAGGGTAGATTAGTCTATACTTACTCAGCCACACTATCGGAAAGTCTGTTTGCTGGATAACGTCAGTAACACCCACATTTTAATGGAACCGAGCATTGTTCGAATGTTTCCTATAACACACCTACGAACTTTATCAACAAGTTACAGACCCAGCAACAGACCTGAAATTTTAGCTGTCTCGCTACAGCGCCCTTAACCCTACGCCCGCTAACAGAAGGATTCGGCTAACATGGTTACATCCTTGTTGCCACCCAATTCAGATCACGTAATGATTCATTTAAGAGGTTACAATTGTGCAATTTGCCACACCCATCTGCTTGCACGGGAGTATGTACAAACAGAACGATTGTAACCTCCCAAATGAATCATCACATGATCTGAATTGAGTGCAACAAGGATGTAAACAAGTTAGTAGAAACTGTCTATGATTTCAAACCAAAAATCAACCTGAAAGCTTTGTTGGTAGGATCGAAATTCCTGCACCTAACTTGCGTCTCTTCCTCTACAGCAATTAAAACTGACACCTGATAATTTTTCAGTCGAGAAGAATAGACACTTAACGGAACAAAATTTCTCCACTGGAGTAAGTTTTTCATAGAATTACATCACTTACCCACAAGTTTCCGAAGAGGGCATGAAGACTTCCGAAGATGATTCTAGGAGTTCCAAAGATTTTCGAACATATCGGAACGATCGACAGCAATTATTTCCGATGGTCTCACATTCAGCCTCTTTTCTTTGATCACATTAAGAACATACAAACAAGTTGTTTCCAGATTTCCCCATGTAATTGAGTCAAATATGATTTCATTGTTTAAAGAATTTGTTACCTCGCTTCCTCCTTATGGCCGAAGCTAACGAAATCGCGTGACACTAATTGTAATTCTAGTCGGTCCATTTGTGTGACTACCTATGCAAATGCAGGAGAACGAGACGGGTTCTATATTTCCTCCTTCGGGCTCAAGACTCCAAACTGGAAAACGCCAAAGAACAGGCGATTAGTGACAAATTTATCAAACTGTAGTTTATTTGCTTAACGCCGACAAATTAAAAACCATTCATTGATGGATTTATCTTCAGGATGTGAAAGACTTGTCAACACCTCAAACCCATGGCTAGTAATTTCTTGCAGTATTGCTCTAGTTGACGAGTCGGCCTGCTCTTTATCAAAGGAAAATACGAGGGGACTAGAAATAAAGTCGTGTCCTTGAAAAATCTCCTGTAAAATGTGTTTCTCGCCGAACACTGTCAAAAGCGTTTCCAATCCATGCTTGTCCCTGTCCAGAGTTAAACGAATCACTTGATTTCTCACCACGTTTCTTTTTAATTTGATTTTCTTCAGGGCGTCGATGAGTCGAGGAATTTGATAGAAATCAGCCTCTTCGGTGAGTTGATCGAATTCTTGGAAATTGTCCGGTAAATTTAACTTGGACGAGCGCAGGAAATTTAAGACATATCGAAACATAGGTCCGTCACGATCGATGAAAAAATTTCCTCGGGAGTCTTTCGCCACCGACCGTCGTCCGCTAAACATGACTCCCAACATTGAGTCTGGAAACCTTGTAAGGCTGGCCAATGATGTGGTGTAAACATTACCACCGACGTTTATGTCGATTATGGATGGGAAATCTTGAACTTTATCCATTCTTCTTACGCTGCCAACTTGCAAAATAGAGGATCCAACATTAATCTTCGTTTGACAAGGGTAATTTTATACAAGGTCAAATAATCTTAACATGAACGTACTCTGGAACACTGATACACGAATTCAATTTCATGAAGGAGTATATTGAGAAAATTACGATCATTAATTAAGCAGTTTGTAAATATTACCATTCTGTTGAATGTGCCCGTAACTACGAAATTAGCTTGGAATGTATAAAATATATATCTCCGATTAAACTTTATCATTACATACTGAGATTTCACGCAGGTTCAGTGAGTGGACCTGAAGCCTTCATTGTCAATGGCAAAGGAAAGTAAAAGAAGCAATAAAATCACCCAAGGCATGTACTTACAGGTTGTAAGCAAGGAATGGAACTGTCCTTTTTTAAACAAATATGGCGGCGAAGCTCTGTAACAATCTTTTCATGAGAAACAGTCATGAAAACGAACTTGTTTTATGATTTGTCACGCCAGTTCTCAGTCACGCTAACCTGACTTTGCATCGCATTAGAGACGCTACAATGCCTTATAGCTCAGTTGGAATTCTATATTTTTTTGCTACTTGGAGAGACGCAAGTCCATTTCTGAAATGCAGACAGGGTAGATAATGCAGCAGTACACATGATGCGATGGCTTGAAAGAGTACAATTTACTGAGAACTATACTCTCGAAAAAAAAATTACGTCCCATTGATTCACCCATGTACGAGTTAATCATTGGCGTATGACGTGCTATGGCCACTGGTTGTTGATCTTTCTTCTGTTAGCTTGCCTTATCGCAGGTTAGCCTCAAAGAGAAGTTGGAAACGTTTTGATGGGCTCAGGAATCAGCTGATTTTTACAGCATGCTCTTAAAATTGTACAGCCCAGTTCGAAAGTGGGGAATTCAGGGAGAAAATAAGGGCGGGTGTGAGTGAAGCATCGAGTTTAACGTCAAATCAATCAAATTTTAAAACTGTAGGGTCACGAAACTCCTCCCTAAATGATAACCAATATGAAAGCCTTTATATATCAACACCCCTAAACCTTCCGGCCCTCCCCCATCACCTGTCTTGAAAGACTCTCATTCGGACACGACTTTGGGCGAGTTAGGGAGAATGATTCCAAGACAACATCGGAGTAAATCACGACTAGCATCAATCAAACCATAGCACTGTTCGGAGAGAGTAAAAGGTCAGAGAAACCTGGCCTTACAAACCTGTACCGAGGGAAAGAGAATTTACCTCAACAACGCATCTACATTTAACTCAAGACATATTTATACCCATGTTGTATTCTATTCACCGTGTCAATGTTTACATTCTGAAATTGGATCATTCTTCTAAAAGTTTTGTTATTGATCAAAATGTGATATCATATAATGATGTAATACAGAATGAGCAATATCGGTACAACAACAGCCGCTCCCCCCCAAAAAGTATAATACCATTTCATTTGTTAATTAAAATCAAGTATATTACTAATCAGTCACACTTTATCGCCTAAATGTAGATAAACAGATATTTTACCGAAATGCCGTCCGCAGCAATGTTCAGTCAAATTAAAAAAAAAAAAGGTTTAACACAGTTGCCTCTCTGTTTCAATTCCGTACCGTTGTTAGACCACCTGTTACTTTTGCTAGCTGATTATTATTTTCTAACGAAGACCCATACTTGACTTGCGTTACCGTCCAAAAAGAAATTTGACATCTTCACTTCAAAACCCTCATCGACGACATGTTGTAGAAAAGCATCTAGCTGTTCCAGTTTGATTGGGATTTGAGCTTGCCCTCCTTCGACAATTCCCTCTCTTGTCTTGACGTTATAAGTAGAACCGCTTGAAATAGTACCACCCAACATGCGAGCATTTGGAACAAGCTGCTTGAGCATCGCCAATCCACCGGCCAAGACCAGCTTTGTCTTCGAGCTATAGAAGAGCCGTAAAATCTCTGGGCCAGATCTGGGGGTCTGTTGACTTTTTCGTGCCTTCTGGACTGCTTCTTCCAAGGGTTTAATCCCATAGAACGTTGCCTCGATCTCAAGTTGTGCAAAATCCTGGAAGTCTTCCGGAAAGGTCAACTTTCTCGTGCGTAGGAAATTGAGGACGTGTTTGAATAGTGCACCGTCCCTATCAATGAAGTAGTTTCCTTTCGGATCTCTGGGTACTTGGCTAATGTCTCCGCTAAAAAGCCCCGCTAGTTTCGAGTCGGAATATTGAGTGACGGTGTACAGAGTGGTGGTGTATACATGGCCACCGACGTTAAGACTCACCACTTTTGGAGGTCCCGCCATGCTAGAAGTTGTCTCGACCAGTCGTGTTTGTGGAGCAACTGATGAAAACGTGCATTGCAAGTGAAGTGATTGACTGGTGCTACAAGGTCGTTGAGTCACCACAATATCATTGTTTACATTTCTTCCATGTCACGACATTCACATGAGAGCCTTGCACGTGGTTGGGTCACTAACACGAACCAAACCTGTTTTAAAATCTGGTTGGGCTAACTGAAGTTCTATTTAAGTATTCTCACAAAAAAAAAGGAGAAAAATATATTTTGATCATTTTTAAAGTTCAACGAAGTCGTCGTTATCAGTATTCAGTGCATGTTTTGAGTTGAGGTGATACTGTGTGGACAACGCCTCAATTCAAGAAATCACTTCATGTCATAATTGCTTAAGTGCAGTTGTAACTGACGTATTATTTTTCAGTGGTTAGCAGCAACAGAAACGAAGGGCAAAATATTTAAAAGAGCAGGCGTTAAATTACTCTGTAACACAGGATAAAAGTATTTCTCATTTTAAGGAAGTTAAATTCTTTTGGGGGAAATACACAATAAATGCTGTGTTGAACCTTTTTACCTGTATGCCAATATCTATATAGTCATTTTACAGATCCAGTTTATAGTTTGTTATGAAGGAAAATTCCTGGCTAGTCAGCTTGAAATGGGAGATATAGCCCACAAGCAAGGCTCAGAACATGAACACCAGAACTGCAATAAATCAGCACATTACAGTACAATGGAGAGGTGCTACAGTAGATGGTAAAAGTTGCCAGGTAAATTGAGTTCTTTGCTGTTCTAGCTTTAGTGGTGTGGGATGGAGAACTTATTACGCTTTTAGTTTGGGACTTTACGAATTAGCCCAGTGTTCTGTATAGATAAGAAGGACCACAAGATTATTTTATCTTGTATAGATAATAATCGTGATCGCGGGAAGGTTTTTGTGCCCTCGAGATACAACAGTGCTCCAACTACAATCCTTTTGGAAAATTATAATGAGAAAGTATACGAATGATAAAAAAAAAACCCTGAAGAAGAACTGTTTTAGTCAAAGAGGGGACTTTATCTCATAACAATCCTAAAATAGTTCATGGTCACACAAACCTCTCTCAAAGGACAATATATTAATGGTTAATTACCATTTTCACGCTACTGTTTGCAAACAAATTCAATTCACATAATTCTTTTCTTCACGAGAAGTGTAAGAATTCATTTAAACGTGTCTTCTCTGATGAATAGCATTTGGTGTCAGGCTCAAACTGAAGAAGACTTCGCTGGAAACAACTTGATTCGGACTATGAGGTTCTGACTCTGAAAATTAAAATCACAGTAATTCCGCTTGCCTTTATCATACACACAAGGTAACATCAAATTTTTGGTAGACGAATCTCAATGTATTTTTTAAACGTTGGTTTCTGATCTGAAATAAAAAAATTTCGTTTATGTTTGCTGCTGCCAGCTTCCCTTCGCATATACCTAAGCGTATCAAGAGAAATTGGTGGAAGTTCGAGAATGCTTCTGTCCTGATGACTTTGTTCGTGTTCAGACACATTTTCATCGAATGCAGTGCTGTTGTTCATCATAACTTGGACCAAAGCCGGCGCCACAAGTCTTTTTGGAGTGACTTCTAAGCCTGGGAACTCTACAGTCTGTTTTTCGACGATCGCATTTCTTTGCTCTGCCAGACAGCATTCGGCGCAAGGACCTATAACATCACAATATTCTCTTCCAAATAAACATTTAGAATAGCGATCGGCAAACTTCGAGGGCGCACGAAATTTAATTTGATTGGTGAGCAAACCACCACATGTAGCGCATTTGAGTTGCTGTGACAGGTTGGGTGGCTTCTTGTTGTTCTTGTTGTTCCACGGTCCCATCTCACTCGACTTAAGCTTGTGTTTATGCCAATATTGAATGCCACCTGATAATTTATCGGAGTAAGTTTGACAGCGGAATCTTTCCCTTGCGTTCACTTGAGACGAAATAGGCATCCATTCTTTGCCTTTCCCCGACGAAAGATGATCATCGACCAACTTCGGAAGTGTTGAACGTTGTAAACACCCCTTGTAAGGCATATTTTCAGCTCGGTTTGGACGTTAGTAGCTCATTACTTCCCATTATTAGATTGTTTGACTTCATCAATTACGAAAGCGCTGAAGCCGCAACGTTTGACAGAGTTTAACAAAATGCGTTCACACGGGTCTGAAGACTAAGTTAGTCTAACCAAGAGTTCACCCACCGGGATAGCTTCTTCATCAAGCACGATATATGCCTTATCTTGTTTCTCGATGTTCTTGTTTACCATTTGCTGGAATGGCTCTCCTAAGTTACCGACTAATTAAAAATGCGTTTTCAATCCTCAATGCGATATTTCAATTAATCCAATATGACAATTGACTAAAAGGTCACGCTTGACGAGCGAGCGGATTACAATTCTTTGTTCGGTAAAACAATATTGATTTCCGGTAACAATAAGCCCCCTCACCTCTACCCACCATACTAAGCTAAAGGGCTGATTCCAACTTTCAATGATATTTTATTCTAAAGGATTATATAATTTCTTTTTAAAATTGCTCTAAATTATGTAGATATTTTTAAGCATTTTGCATTTCATGGCATTTCCGACTTTTGTTCCTCACAAATTTACGTGTCTACTGAATGTAATAGTGGGGAAAGGGAAATTTGATTCTTTAAATGCCTTAAGGCATTTGTAGTTTATCTCAGACGGATTGTTTCCAGTCGTATCATCAGCGTGGTGGCTTATTCGTTTTCTTGATGATCATTTTTCCAGTATATCAGTTTAAAGTATTCTAATGAGGAGAAAAAGGGAATTTCATATCCCATGTCATACGAAATACCTCAGAAGTGGAATAAAAAAAATAATAATTGTGTCGTGATTCATGGACTGAGGGGGTTCCGCTCGGCAATGACCGATTTGCTGTCTGGTTTTCGGGCGAGAAAATAAAACAAAACTTGGTTATAACTCCTAGTTTTAATAGCTAAAACAACAAACGAAAATTGGTCTACGCAACAGATAGAAATGCGTCTGCATAGCGGCACGCATTCGTAGAAGAGAGTTCCAAGTACTTCTTAGACTTGTTTTTCTGTACGGCGTAACCCTGCTGTGTGATGTTTTGATGCTGACTCCTCTTCAGTCAAGCGTGAGGTACTTCAGTAGCTATTTGCGTTTAAAGTCGAAGCATGCAGGCACAAACGCATCCATTTGCCTCACGCGATTAGGCGACTCGTTAAAGATTCAGGATATTACTGTCTGGGAGTGCGGCGTCAGAATGCTGACAACCTTGTGAAATCAAATCTCAAAAGAGTCATCAGGTCATCTCGTTGATTCTGAACAATTCTGATCGACTGAACAGCTACACTGAGTTACAAACGTGGCAGTTGCAAACTCTCGGCCGTCATGCGTTTTAAAACACGATTGACTACGTATTCTTGAATGTTTCTTACGTTGCCTTCCATTGCTTTTTATTATGAAGATGGCAAACCAACAAGATTTAGACAACTGGAGACCGAAGTCGATAAATGGGAAAGAAAATTACAAGCGGCAAACAAGAGCGGCAAAGGATGGAAACTCTTACAACCCAGAGTCAACTAAGTTAGAGCACTGCGATTTAACTGGCTCCCGCTATACGAACAGTAAAACAGAAAGGTTTTTACCGTCTATTCACAATAAAAGTCAAGGAGAGCGTCACAGGCCAGGTTCTCATTTTGGAGCCGGGAATCGTAAAGGTAGAAGCAAGAGAGTCCTCGAGAAGAAAGCTTCATCAAAAACTACTCAAGTACGGCAGATAATGCCAAGAAGCTTTATGCAGTTTTGGATGCGATATAAACCTTCTCTCGCGATTCAGTCGTCAAACATTTCCCAAGACATCGATGCGTTATCGATTGAAGTCATTCGACAACACAATGAACCTTACGTGGTTCTTCCTTCGTTACGAAACGAAAGCAAGTAATTGTTTCGTCAGTTCATAGACCAGTCATCCTTCGTTGCGTTTGCGGAGTCGCAAGTGTCATTAATGTAAATCATAACAGCTTCGATATACTGTCAGGTGGACAGACGGAACAATCGGAACAGAGGACATTGTTTATACGGGCAAGACAAACTCTGAACAGATACGAAAATAACTGCATGGCAAAGAGAAATAATGTTCAAATTGCGTCTGGGGTACTGAAAAGCGTTAGATAGCAGGAAAATTTAGTGACTGACATGGAGGCGAGGAATTTTGTTAGATTCATTAGCCATTTTGAGTTCTAATTTGCATGGTCAAACGTGAAAAGCGCGCGTGGTAAGCGCGAATCGTGCAAAACACGTTCATCACGTAACATGCGCGTCGTGTTTCACACGGGATCCTCAAATTTAAACCTTTTCCTCGAAGGTACGTTGATTGAGAGAAAAACTGATTTTGTTACGCTGAACCAGCCTTTGCTTTGTCTGTGGTTATTTCAAGGTGCGATTACGCGTTCAACAGAAATGTCAATGAAAAATGGACTACGATGGTACTCAGAAAACTCTTAACTTAGCACTCCTTTAGCACTCTATGGGATACGGCACAATGCAGAAGAATACCAGCAAGGAATTGTTAAGAGCAGGTCGAAAAAGAGAACACACGATTATATTTTTCGGATTTAACTTATGGAGAGATACAAAAGCTGCTCCAATCAAGGACTGGCATCACACAAGGGGGAGAACAGAGACCACGGAAGAACCAGTTATGAGTTATCACTATTTTTAAACAAAGATCCCAAAACTGTATTCAAATGGAAGTACATGTATTGTATTAATTTTTGTCAGCTATTTATAACTCAAAGGAGTCTTTGCTCTCTGCTAGTTAACTATTAGTATTTTTTTTTTCATTTAAAATTGCATCAAAAAGATTTAGGTCTATAGTTAGTTCTTTGCTGGTAAGTCTTCATCCTTCTTCTTTCCACTAACGGTCGTCACTGGGGAGACGCACGTGCGCAATGACCCAAAAAAGGCTGGAAGGACTGACTTATCATTGGATAGGCAATGAATTTATTCCTTGACATTCAAAAAATTATTTTCATTTCGAGCTGTTGCAAGTACCAACAGCCAATTGTATTCATTTCACTTATAAGTCCTGATCGTCAAGCAACTAATTGACATCTGAATGGCGGGTTAAAAGGTTTCCTCTCGCCCATGCAAGCTCCCTTTCCACATTTTCAAGGCGCTTCCAAAGTTCCTTGATGTCCTCGCGCAGTGCTACAATTTTTTGATCATTTGTATTACAGCAAGGTATGAAACTAGCATCAGTATCATCAAAATTGTGCAATTCGTTTTCTAACAAATCCATATCTTCTGTGTTTGAGTTCACCGCCATTTGGTAGTTCTCCTCAAAATCTTTTGCCAGTTCGGATGCATTTTCATGTATAGTATACAGCTTTGGATAAAAGCCCATAACTCTATGCCTCCTGGCTCCGGATTTCACACGCGTGTGTCTGTGAGCGAAACAATCTGCAAGTCGTTTAAGCATTGTGTTTCTGTTGTGCCGTTTCGGTGAGTTCTTTTCGGATGGCAAGCAGGTATAAGGCTCACTTTCGACCACAAGATCAGTGTTTCTATCATCTTGGTTATCAAACGTTGGTTTCTCTGAGTACATGTAGGTCTCGCGGTTTTCCTCGCTCTCTCCGCGTGCGCAATTTGAGAGCGCTTCGTTTTCTTGAGATTTCTTTGCGACAGGTGACAATGGTAGCATAGCGCGGGCATAGTGTTTCCATAATGCTTCACCCGTTTGATTTTTCTCATTCTCCAACAGCTGCACGCTTCTTCTGTCAAAAGATCGCGCTAAAATAGTCGTATCGCACTCCAGACGTTTTGAAATCGACATGAACGGATTGGTCCTGGTGTAGACTAGACTCTCTAGTACTAGTTTTAAATCTACAGTCCTTGTATGTCAGTTCAGCAGAACTGCACTGACGTTGGTGATTACGAGAACATCCAATTTCTCGACGAGGGTTTCGTTCAAACTCATAAACTTACCTCTTAGTGTTATCGAAGCTTTACCGTGGAATATAGTCCAATATATTTCCGACAGCCCACTGAAAATTATTGTTTGTATATCTTGTATCGTGCCGGTTTCAAAAAACTGAGTTTAGAGTTACACGCTGGGAAGGCCGAGTCAAACACGGAGTACACAGGCTTTACAAAATATTTAAATGTACATGATAGGAAGCCGTGATAGTGAAAGGCAGCTCTGATCTTGGTGACATTTTCCGACACTATTTTCAGGGTGGTAGTTACGTTGAGGACCACAGAACTTTTATCGTCACGACTGTTGATTATACCGCAGTAATAGAGGTTCTTAAGTCCTTAGAACCAGGCAAACTCTTCAGACTTGACGAGTTTAGTTCGGCCGCGCGATTACTGTTCGAAGATGTTTACGACAGCAAAGTCATCCTTCATTAGTTCTTCACTGGTTCATTATCATTTACCTGCTGCTCACGGTTCAACTTTCGAGGGACTCGTAGAATACTCAACTTTCCATCAGTTCCACAACTTTCAGTAAAACCTCGTTGCTAAACATGTAATTTGTAAACTTTGTTTGTTCCTTGGACCAAATAAGAGTAATTTGCCCATTTAAATTATGGCGTATGTTCCTGGCAATGTTAACATCACGTAAATTACTAATGTTTTGTTTGCAAGCTGGCCGTCTCTCGTGGTACTGACACGGTCGGTCAATCACATTTTGTTCTTTGACAATCACCTGTTGTTAATGTCGTTAATCTACTCGATTGTTTTCTCGATGACGCCAGACCAGTTGCTATTGAATGATGATGATAGTAACTGAAGGCAGGACAAATACAAGGTAAGAGAAAGATCTCAAAAGACAGCGATTTCAAAGAGTGCATTAGACCAATCCATTACCCTTTCATTGAAGCTGTTATCTCTTTCTCATCAATCTTTTCGTTGTCATTAGTGCCATGTTAGTGACAAAAGTGCTATTACAATATTCTGCAATATTTCAACGGGTTGTTTGACGGCGTATTTCATTCCTTGGATCGAGCTTTCTTACCGGATTGATTGAACACTGGTAACTTGCGTGTGTTCAAGTTAATATCTGGCTGCGAGTTGGAGCGGTGTGACACTCGTGCCAGCGTGCATGTCCCTTCTTTAGGGATTTTGCGAGAGTGCTTTGTTTCGCTGGTGGAGCGAAGAATGTTAGGGGCCAGGCCACGAAAACTACTCACCATTCTCCTTGCGGCTTCATCGCTTTTATAAGAGCGGCTCTGCAGCTAAAATGGAGAACTTGGTACGCAGGCTAGTTCTCGCTTTCGCGCACCGCTCTAGCTCGTTCTCTAAGATAGCTCGGTGCCTATTGCGCAGGCTTGGATGGTTCACACCAGTGGCCCATACAGTCGGAGATGGCAGAGATGGCAGAGAGGACACAAAATAACGAAATTGAAGAACACTCATAAAAATTGCTTTCGTCAACTTTTTTCAGCCTTTGAGGATAAGAAATGGCATCGGGCCTACCTATTAGTAATAGATGGCCATCACTGTCTCCTTGAAACTTTAATTCCACATTTCAAGACAGAACGCTTTGGGCAATGCATGGTAAACATATGAAAGTAAGTAATTTATAACATGGGGAGCGCTTGAGCAATCTCCCTAGTTAGAGGCTCATGTCGAAAGTGCTTGACGACGATAACCATAAGCTAAGAGAATCTAAGGACTTAAGAGTAAGTTTTAAGTAAGGGTTGTGATAATTCAGCTGAATAAATAAGGTACGTTTACGAAGGATAAACCCAGAACTTGGTCAAGATGGCTGACAACAGTTTCCAGCTCATTCCTGTATCACTTACACTTTGATGAATCAATATTAGCAGTCCTGGCACTCTTTGTCATATACTACCGGAATAATGTTTATCTGTGAATGGGTTCAAAGCCACCTAAATTGTCTAAAATGAGTCATGGCTCTTAACCGCCACAAAAGAATACACTGTATTTAGAAACTTTTCAAAAACGTGGTGTCTTTAGAGGCTGCCATAACAAAAAACTGGAGGCAACCAAGCTCAAATTTGAACTAAAAACACTTACAGCTAAAATTAAGCATGTTCCAGGAGCATGTCGTATTGTTTTAACCTATTAGGCCATAATGATGACCAACTTATTCACCAATGATTGAGCGGCATTTGAGCGACATCACTTTATAAAGAGTAGTAGTATTGATCAGTCAAGTATAACTGCTGGAAAGTGCTGGAAGCCGTTGTCAGCCACTTTAATCCGGCCATGTAAGGCTGCACACCTCTAAAGCTTTCGAGATTTTCGCGCCATACGTACGCAATAATTGCGCAAGTCGTGACCAAGCCCCTTCAAGTTAATAATAGTTTAACAATTTTATCACTTTTGCTATAGCGGTACCATTATTTGGTTGTTGTACTCTAAACTTGTTTTGCTTAGTCACCAAAGCTACTACCTCTAACACACCAGTTGAGAGCTATGGATTTGGAGTGGAAGCTCGTCTAATTGACCGCATTTGAAAAGAACAGTCCCTGACGACTTTCCCCTTCTTTCCACAAGTTACGATCCAAAGAAAAGCTCTTCTACAGTTGTTTAAACGCCACGAATAAACGAACGGATTCATAGAACTGTTCGCTAAGATAAGCAGAAACTGAACGTCGCGTGACCACAACACGAGGTCACAGTTACATGTATTACATAAGTTGATGATATATATCAGAGCACACGCGGGCAGATAACATAAAATGAACAGCATCAACATTATGAGTAGGGTTTTAGTAATTTTCTGCTCCCAACGCACCTTGAGTTTCTTGACAAGACTGCCCTCGGTGCTATCATGTAACCTGTCCCATTCTTTAACTTGACGACGAAATATCTTGTAAATCCGTATGTAGGCAAACAACAGCACTAGAAAAGTTAACACGACAGCGGTGTTGGCAAATAAAAACGCGAAATGAAAGAAACCAAGGTACAGATACGCGAAAGGGAAGCTTAGCGAAAGCGCCCAGACAATGATGCACGCGACAACAGCCCGCATGGGACTCAGTGTGGATCTGTATCGGAATGGTGAAGTTATGGCGATATAACGATCGACCGTCAGGGCTGCCAGACTCAGAACGGAAGCCGTACATGAGATGAAGAACGGCATATGAACAGCAGTAGCGAGACTCTCATAGTCGATTACTCCTAGAGCGTTCTTTACGTGATAAACAGCTGAGACGGGTTCCGTTACAAGACCCACTAACAAATCTGCCATTGCAAGATTTGCCACTAAGTACATGAAAGGAGAACGTAGATCTTTGTTTGGATCGATGAAGACGGCCATAACCACAATAAGGTTTCCCGGCACGGTGATAAGACAAAGGAAGGCTGAAACTCCGCCTGTTATGAATGGAAGGAGTGCTGGAGCCGTTGAGTTGAGACACGGCTTCTCAGAGAATATAAGAGTGTCGTCCATATCTTGTGTAGCTTTTCAGTTGTTGTTGCTGCTCACTCCTCTATCTAGACAATAGTAATCAACTTAAACTTGGATGGTCTCTTGATGCTCCCGGCGTGTAATCTCACTGGCTCTGCTTACGGGCGGCGTTTGTGTGGTTAAAGTAATATTTTCCGTCCACGTAGTATGGTTAGTTGATCCTGTTTAGCTCGAATAAGTACAGCTGTCGTCTGCGTCAAACGAGTTCTTTTCGTCTTTGCTCAACAAATTTAAGTCCACTTGAAATATTACTTTATCCTGTAGTTTGACCTCTGCCCAGGTTCTCTGACAGTCACGTACATGTCTGACAACCGAGCAGTACTTATGTCTATCTTATGGCAGACGCTTTTCCGCCAGCTGTCACTAAGCGCTCTCTTCACAATAGGCACCCTCCTTGGAACGTGCTTTTATCAATAAGCACCCATATTCCAATTTAATGCCCCTTTCAATATACCATGTGCTAATAACTAACCTCAGCAACATTATTTTCATTTACTGTTCCATAAGAGAGGCCTACAACTGAAATATAACCTACGATCAGGCGTTCTTCGTTTTCGGAGAAGGGGGAGGTAAAAAAAAAAACGCCTTCTTTTTTTCCTTTTTCCCGTTCGCCGAACAAAAAAAAAAAAAAAAAAAAAAAAGAAGAGATGAAACGTAGCCAAAACACTAGAAAACTCTATTGCAAAAATACAGCTTCTGGTGAGCAAATTAAATTTGTATGGAATAAAGCTTATGAGTAAAATTTGAGTGAAAGAGTTAGAGACTGAGAGTCAGATCAGAGTAGCTAGGCATAACTGAGGAACATTGTCGCATCGCGTTATGATAAGATGATATATTATTTGCCATTTCCATCTAAATACGCTTTCGTAATTTCCTAGAAAACCATACCCTTTGTCAAACAAGGTCAACCCATCCAGAATTCCGTTTCTGCCAAATAATTGGCAATTAAGATCAAGTACGCGCCCATTGCATTTGTGAGACCAAAACACTCCTAGGGGCGAAACCTCTCGGCCCCTGCTGAAGTTATCCCTTCATGTAATCCCGTTTTCTCTCAAATTGCTACGGATGGGTCTGAATCACGTAGGCGTTGAGAAATAGTTTCTTTCCGCATTGAAAAGGACTTTGAGAATCATTGAAAGCGGTGAACCTATGCGAAAACTTGGGTACAGATCGTCAAGTTCACAATCCATTCAGTTTTAAAACGGAGCAGTAACTTTTCTTGTTTATTT